CCCCAAAACCCCAAAACCCCAAAACCCCATAAATCCAATTAATTAACTTAGAAAAGGGATCTAAAATATATCATTAATCTCTATTATTATACGTAAATTGGATATTTTGAAAGATTAAATATTATTATAAATCAAATGAAGAAATTCGCAGCAGTAGCAGTCGGAGTCGCATCCTTCTACTACATATCATTTATCACTCAAAAGCATCAAGAGAAAGACAAAAATATTTCAGAAACCGTCTAGAACTCTAATCATCACCACAGACCCAAGCAAAACATGGGCTCAGACGACATTTAATCCCAAAGAGACTTCATTAACTACATTTCCAAGTACACGAAGTCATATCAGTCAACTGAGGAGTACAACAAGAGATACGAGCTGTTCCTCAAAACCAAGGAACAAATCATGAGAACTAACTCTCAAAATGGAGCTAGCTACAGACTTGGATTCAATCAGTTCTCAGACTGGACTGATGCAGAGTTCAACCAAATCCTTGGAGACAAGGCTGTGCAAGATCAAGATGACCCAGCACACCTCCTGGTTCTAGATGCTTCAAAGAATGCTGCTACAATCGATTGGAGACAACAAGGAGTTGTCAACCCTGTTAAGGACTAATAAAGGTGTGGTTCATGCTGGTCATTTGCCTCAGCTGCTGCAGTTGAATCCCACCATGCCATCGAGGGTAACGATCTTCTCTCCCTCTCAGAGCAGAACCTCGTTGACTGCTCCAAAGCATATGGCAATGATGGGTGCAATGGAGGTCTTGCTACCCAAGCTTACCAATACATCAGAGACTTTGGCATTGAAAGCGAGTCCGACTATCCATACAAAGCCGTTGACTAGGCTTGCGCCAGAGATCAATCCAAGGTCAAAGTGTTTGTGACTGACTACCATTCAGTCACCACCCAAAGCCCAGATCAACTTAAGGCTGCCTTAAACGTTGGGCCAGTCTCCGTTTCCGTTGATGCTGGCGGTGACTTCAGAAGTTACGAGGGTGGTATCCTTGATAAAGGCTGCGGCACCTCTCTAAATCATGCTATTTTGGCTGTTGGCTATGGAAGTGAAAATGGCTAAGAGTACTACATTGTGAGAAACTCTTGGGGTCCATATTGGGGAGAGTCAGGATATATCAGAATGGCTGTTGTTGCTGGTCAAGGTATTTGCGGTATTCAAATCAGACCCTCATGGCCACAGACAAAGTCTGCTTAAGCTGAGGAATGATGACGTCAAATTTGTGATCACCTTCTATAACATCTATCCAATCTTGATTTAATAATTCAATCTGCAAATATCAGATTTACTCATTGTTACGGGGTTTTGGGGTTTTGGGGTTTTGGGGTTTTGGGGTTTTGGGGTTTTGG